TCTTTTCCCATGTCTCTTTCAAACCAATAATAAAAAATGCCATTTTAACTAATTACGGCATATTGATCGAAATAGGTCAGCACCAGCGCTTCCTCCCAAGGATATTCTATTGCAGGAAAAATCTTCCTGGTTTATAATCATTAGCATACTTTTTCCACATATGTTGTGAATCTGGAAAGAAGAACGATCGCGAAAGCGTTTCGGGCATCCACTGGACAAACTACGTGGCCACGTAACTCTTGTTATGCTGACAAGTACATACCACTTTGGTTGCACTGTTTTTGGGTCATAGAAAAAACTACCTCATCTGTGTGGAACTTGACATTCATTTGCGTCATGGACGCACAAAGCGCCATTGACTTTACTAATCCCTCAATCGTTATTGTATGCTTGTTGACTTCTCAGTGATTTGTAGATTAAAGCATCCAACTTCCTAAAGCTGCGTGGACGAAGATGGACCTTGGGTATTAGTGAGTAATCGGGTCCAATGTGGGACGTTGTGCGTCTAATGGTATAAGTAATCTAGAACTAAAACACAAGCAGGCAACACAACAGTGCAAGCTAGTCTTAGAAGGTATTCGTGGTGTTTTATGGCCAAAAACTACCTCCGTTCATTCCTTCATGGTTTTGTCAGACAAGCAGCTTCGCGACTGGCGTGAATGGGGGTGGCCGATAGTCGAGACAGTCAACCTCTCCGTGCGTCTGCCTCGCGGTCCACCTGATGAAGGTCCATGGAATGAGGTCTCTATTTTGGACAGGTCGTCCTTGCAGAAAATCCACCAAGGCCAAAACCACGGTGAGAATATTTCTGACCTCAAACTAACTTGAGACGCTTACACCCATGAGTTATAGCTTCGTAGGTTCAGAGTGGGCCAAAGGTTAAACCGCTTTTCTTCCTGTCGTTTTTGAGCGACGCAAGTGGTGGAAGATTTCGAATTTTTTCATACAGTTGTAACTGATTTTTATCAATTTTGAAGATGAATCAAGTTTTACTTCGTCTAAACGAGCATCTAAGCCAAAGGAAAACGTGTTCAGAAGGTGCTGGACGGGTTCGTATTTCAAAAAACTCCTTATTCTAGTTTCGCCTAACATTTACAGCAGAATGCGCGTGTGCATGTGTGGTTGATTTGGAAGTTTGGTTATAAATTGTAGTTGCAATCAATCAAACCTGTGGACTCAAAAGTTGTTTTTCAACCTCTAGTCACATTCAACTGCACTGACTTCCAACCCCATGGCCGAAGGACTTGTCCTCGAGTCGAGCACATCACTACTCCAGCTTACACGCCTTACTCAGCTCCTGGATTTGCTCTTGGAAGGCCTGTTTTCGTAAACTACGCGACATTAAGCGACTTGAGCGTCTTCCAAAACGCCAGCGACCTCTGTTCAGGGAAGGTTGTAGCCCTAGTGCGCCATGGCCGGACGTCGTATGGAAATAAGCTGCGCCATATTGTAGAGTTTTGCGAAATGATGGCAGATGGAACGCTCCCTGGAGGCATGGTCGGGTACAAGGACCCCACCGAATCTGCTCCACCAGATGGCAGCGTTTATCCTGAGGGAATCGGCATACCGGGAGATGGCATTGCCTTTCGATCTGCTTCTATGTCCAAAGACGGCGGCGACGTCGAAACCCCTGGTCTTCCATCCATCGGTGAGTTTGTTGCACTCTCTTTGGTTGCTCTTCTGGTGTAGTTAATATATGGCTTGATTGGAATATAGCCTGCTCCTGTAGTGGATGTCAGTGTACGTTCTACATCGATTCGCGTTGGTATTGGAACCGTTCAAATGAATGCATATTAGTTTTTTACATAAAAACTCTAGTCCTTCATTTAAAATCAGTCGCTTAACTAGAAATCTTGTCTTTTTGCCATTTAGCTTTCGTTACTTTTGATACGTTTTAGATGGCGTTTACAAAATTGAAAATCTGTGGGAAAAGGCTCTCACACCAATTCCCGTACAGCCAATCAGTTTTGACGACGCCAAAATAATCATGAATAGTATGGCTGGCAAACCGGTACCTGAGGAGTGGAAACCTTGCTCACCGAAATTCCTTGGGCCCGAGGGAGACAGGTATGTGGGGGAACTTTTGTCGAAGACTTTCTCCACATTTACTAGTCGATGTGATTTTGATACGGCTATCGTTGTTTCATTTATCTTATTGGTTCATTCGAATAAGAGGTAAATGACTTTTCAACCACGTTTTAATACGACCTTTTCATTATACCAAACTTTAGACCCCACCAACACAGAACTCAGCACCAAGTGATAATTAGCTGATGCATCGTGTGCAGCCACAGTGATGTTATTTGCTGCTACATTTGTCGTTCTCATTCTAACATGTTCTGTTTGATCCTCTCTCAAAGTCTGATTCAGCTGAAGGTGAGAAATCGTGTGGACAAGGAGCCTTCCACGCTGGTGAACGTCGTGGGTGCGATGCCAGGCAGGGGACCAGAAGCGCACCAATACGTAACCCTTGGCAACCACCGCGACGCCTGGGTTCAGGGTGCCAGTGATCCGCACTCGGGCACAGCGGTCCTCCAGGGTGTCGCGTACCTCCTCGGATTGGCTTACCAACAAGGTAAGTGCAAACGTCTCCAAAATTAATCTAACCAGTAAATGGTTTGGGTGACCTTGACTGCCTCATGGGAATTGGCCAATGGCAGGTTACCACGAAACGTGCGTGGACGATATGAGAAGGGTGTGTATTGTTATGTTAAACGATTGTAATCCAGTCAATATGGATAACATTGAAACAGTCTGAAGCGTTCTCATGGATGTACAATATGCGGATAATTGTTAATTCTGTGTAAATAATCAAACGTGCGGTAAAAATGCAAAAATCCAAAAGTGCCCACATTCCGACCATAAAAACAAAGCGCACAGCAGATATTCTGTTTAATAATTGCTATGGTTGCGTAGCTCTGAGGTCAATTAACTCATTCATCTGATGTATGACTTAATTCATACAAATTGTTTTGTAAATTCTATACGAATAAAGTCATACACCAAATAAAAACCTCGAACACACTTATTAGTTACAAACCAGCCACTTGTTGAGATGCAACCTTCGTTCCAGGCTGGCGTCCACGACGAACCATCGTGATCGCGAGCTGGGACGCCGAGGAAGTCGGTCTGGTCGGGTCGACCGAGTTCACGGAGCTGTATCGTGAGGAGCTAGTGAGTCGCGCAGTGGTGTACCTGAACCAGGACTGTCCGGTGAAGGGCAACGCGACGTTTGTGCCGCGTGCCGACGAATTCCTCGAAGCCGCTCTCCTCGCCAGCGCAAAAGCCGCCCGCGGACCGTGTGACGCCGGCGTTAGTCTGCTTGACTTCTGGCGCAAACATCGTAAGGAAGTCGAGGAAGAGGCGGTGTGAGTTAAGTCAATTGGTTCCACCTGAACAATCCGTAGACTCCCACCCTGTTCTCGGAGGTGTCAAATCATGTCTAACTTTTTAGAATCATTTTTTACCGTTTTTAAAACGTCTGGAAACAATCAGAAGTGGCCCACTGAGCGTGTCGTGATTACCGCGCTGTTAAACATTTTAGTAAAACAAAAGACAGGTGTGTCGTCTAATCTTATTATCAAATTTTTTCTAGTAATTATTTTTAAGCATGATAACTCCAAACTGCAGGACTGGACACATTAACTGATCTGTTCCTAAATCTGGAACATAGCTTCGCTTTGCATCTATGTGTGTTTAGACTAGCGGCGAAAAATAAACACCACACGTAGACACCTGTTTAATTAACCAGTCAAGATGCCGACAGCGGTGCACATTTGTAGGACTTTGGTGACTGTTTTGGATTGGTTGAATATAAGGACGAGCCGAATTGGTTAGATCCAGAGTGTTTATTCAGAATTAATCAGGCGTATTTCTTGTTTTAGTTTTGTTACTATTGTAGGTTATGTGAAGGAATTAAAGACTTACAAACAAGAGTGGCAAAAATGTATTTAAATCCATATAGGTGCTTTGTTAAAACTTGGAGTTGACTTAGGTGAGTAGCCTGTCATTAGCGAATTCAGTGTATGTATTCCCATATGCCCGTTTGAATTTCGGATGTAATGTGCACACATCGCTGTGCTGGCAATTTCTTTGTGCAGGTGAATTGCTTTATTTCAGAACATTACCCGTAGGTGGTTCCACGGACCACGTGCCTTTTCAGTACAAACTCGGAATCCCTTCTACTTATCCCGAATTCAGACCGGTATGTTGC